TAAACCATCAAATTCCTCTGTATCCAATCTTTACAATCGAAAAATCCTTCGTAAAATCCTCAATGCTCCTTACTTTGTCATAAATAAAATAATCCATAAAGACCTCAATGTTCCATATGTTTCCGATTTGGCCAAATCCAGATACCTATCATTCCATAATAAACTTCATAACCATCCGAATCCTCTTGTTTCTAACCTTGCTTTCTCTTCGATTCCTGATAACGCTCCGAGGTGTCTGAAAAGAAGATGGCCTCGTGATCTCCTCATGTAGACAAATTATTAGAGTGCTACCAATGGGTAGTTTCTCAACAAGCGTGTTTCATGTCATTATATTCCTCTGTACACATTTACTTGATGTATTCATACTAATACAGTTGTAAATATCATAATAAAAGATTAAAAAAAAAAAGAATCAGCCCAGGCATCAAATGAATTGTTTTAAAAATATTTTATCTAAAATCAACTCCCAAAGTTTGGCCATTTTGAACTAAGAGACCCAAAAAATGTGTATTTAGAGGAGACTGAAAGTACGCTGGATGAGAGATCTCCTTCCTTTTATAACCTAAATAAGTGAATTGAGCTGTCATTATTTCCATTATTGTCGCCTCTTATAGACTTTTGACAGTTTTTGTTGTGAATTATCAGAGTAATCCATATATATTTTATTGTTTATTTATAATTACAAAGGCTTTATTATTATTATTATTTGATGTAGATACAACACAATTATGACATTAAGGTTAGACCTTAGTGACGACCTCAGTTGCTCAACGCAATGCCTCGCCACCCTGAGAGCTAATTGGATTTCACCCCTAGTTCCCTTCCCTTATTCTCTAAACCGTTAATTACCTGTTCAGTCCCCCTCCTCCAATTAAAATCATTGCCCCTTCCAGAGACTGGAGTCTTTTTCCAGATGTCTGTCTGGAATAGGAGGGAATTCGCTGGCAATAGACCCAGCTGTCTCATCTATTTAGACTGTCGCATTGGCTTCACACCTTTGCCATTCATCTCAGCTGATAGCAATATCCCTTCTCTTTATTTATAACTTGAAAACGTATTTCTCTTTTCTTTTTTTTTAGTTTTAAAACTACATTCCTTTTGCGTTTTAGAAAGAAAGGCGCTTTAAAGTCTTTAAATAGTATAGTCCAAAGGAAAGTGAACAAAGAGAAAAATTAGGAGATTATAATACATCGATCTCATAACTATGGCTAATGCCTTAAACCAAAAAAAATAATATATTAAATAAAGGGATTATAATGTTGTAAGGAGATGAAACAGTCTGAGGATCACCAATTCCAACTATATCTTTTTTGGATATACTAAATCAAAAAATATTATACAGGTATCCCTGTGTTCTTTACAATGGGTTCTAGGAACCGAAAAAAAAAATACTTTCAAACAAAATTAATGTTATTTATTTTTAAGGAAGGAGATGGTCCGGTACATAGTGGCAAAACTATTTTATTTAAAACCAACGTTTCGACCTGACTTTGCAGTTCTTCTTCAAGGGCTAGAACGGACAAGACACAAAAAGATATAGAGAATTGTGTAACATGATATTTAGACAAAAAATTATAAACACTGTGAATAAGCTTATTAACATTAAGTACATTAAAATATAAACAGAGGAAGCTAAGTAACAAGATCCTAAACTGAAGTAAATAGATGGTTACAATTGTTGTAGTGTAATATATAATATTACACTAGGAATAATTGTGAATATATTCCTACAGATCGTTATTTATTTTTGTCTTTGGTTTACCCGTATCTTTATGGTACTATATATCTATCGATTTATTTTTTTGTGCAAAATAAGAAAAACAAATTAAATATTGTATTAAATGGATTATAATGTATCAGAAATTACAAAAATCTAAAGGTGCTTCCAGTAAAATAAGTCAAGTAATTTTTTATTATTTTTTTTTATGAAAAAGCAAATTGGACTCCTTTTTAGGATCCTTTAAAACTCTTAAATACGAATTTTTATATAGAATAAAAAGTGCAACCTTAAGTATCTAAAGCTTTTCTTCGACTCAACTCAGAATTTTCTTCAAATTCAACTTTGATATAACTGCAGGAAAGTTGAATTATTGTTCTTCCAATAAACACCAATAACTTTTGGGTTTCTGTTTTTTTTTTTTCAAGATAGAAATTAAGATAAACTTATTTTTATTTTATATCTTTTAATTTGTTTACGAAGGTCTGGTTTATATTCGTGTAGTACACTAAGGCCTAAATCTCTATTAATTTTCATGTAGATAGCCGAAGCCGTTCTAAAGTTATCACAAGTTTTGATAAAATTGGTTGTTGATAAAATTTCGAAGGGTCCAGCCTAGACAAAAATTTCGATCAGAAAATTTAAATTTTCCGATTGCTAAAATAATTTGTATTTAAGGTTTTTTTTGAGGTGCAAAAAACTTAACTTTGTACCCTAAAAATTATATATTTTAGATATCAGACCGTTGTTTTTTTTTTTTTAGTAAATATTATATTTGGCAGATAGCTACAGTATAGGCACAATTTGGGCCAATCGAAATAGCAATGTAGGGAGGGGAGGGAGGTTAATAATTTTTTAGGGAGAAACAAAGTTGTATGAAAGGTCTCGATGTTTTCAATTTTCTTTGAATGCGCCTAATGAATTTAAGAAAAAATACCGTTTTCTGATAATAAAATTGTACCTACAGGTTGTTGATATTTTGTTTTGATTGTTAAATAAACATTTATAATTCATTTTTTTTTTTCTAAGGAAAACAAACATTTAATCAGCTGCAAGTAGTACACTCTATTGACTGATCTAGACTATTTACAAAATGAATTATTTACTCTGAAATTGTATATGTATATATACTTTTTGTTCTAAACATTTTCCAGCATTTTCCAATTGGAATTGAGAGAGAAAGTCTATTGTTTTCTCTGAGTGTTTTCTATTGTAAACTTTTAGCGGACTTGTCCAAAGTAAGTTGAGGAGTTAACAAAAGCCGTTCTCTTGATTGTGGAGGAGCTCGCAATTGTTAAAGTTGTTCTCAAGTTTGAAGTCTTTTGATCGATCCGGAGGACTTTGACAGGTTCCGATGAAATACAGCATAGTAATGTAGCGGTGAGTTCGAGTCCCGTAGTTATATTATAATTTATTATAAATAAATATGATATTATTGAGATTAAACTATATAAATAGCTTTGTTTATTCATGTAGACTATGAGTGGTAGATAGTATTTTATATTTTGAAAGAAAGTTATTTCAATACAGTTATATGTATCCCTATATTGAATACGTAACTTTAGTTTCATATATATTTTTATTTTCCATATACGCTGCTCAGACCTACACGTACCATTTTTGTGATGCTTAAATTTTTCATGATCGCAAAAGTTTTCCTCTTACTATATATTTCGTATATAGGTTAGTGGAAGTAAATAAGACTAATTCCCCTCCCATAAATTATTTTCCCTCCTTATAAATAAATATATTCTCCTCCTGGCTACGCCGTTCCTTTTGTTATTATAAATGCAACATTTCCAATATTCTAAGCACATATAGTTTCTTGTTTGAAGAACTTTACAATATCTCAATTTTCTATCTAACTACTCCATTCTCAATGTTTTAATTTTACTATTTATTTTCATTTCTATATAACTTCATATAAATAAGTACCTCGGATACTGGTTATCTTCAAAGGGTGGTAGTGAAGTTGATATCGAACATAAAATAAATAATGGGAAAAGAATAATAAGTTCGATAAATTCAACCCTATGGAGTAAAGAAATAAGATTAGAAACTAAAAAGAAGATATACCATTCCTTTGTAGAAAGCGTAGCCACTTACGGATCAGAAGTCTGGACACTGACAAAAAAGTTGGAAAATAAGTTGCTTTCCATGGAAATGGATTTCTGGAGAAGAAGCTGTGGCATATTCAGAATCGAGCGGATCCCAAACGCAGCTATTAGAGACAAGGTCGGATGTCGAAAGAACATCCTTTACCTGATCGGGACCAAACGGCTAAAGTGGTATGGCCACTTAATGCGGATGGATGATAACCGCTGGCCAAAGAAAATTTATAACTATATGCCACCTGAAAGAAGGAAGCGTGGAAGGCCAAAGAAGAAATGGACAGAGGACGTGGAGGAAAGCATGGCAGCCAGAGGGCTTCGTGAAGGAGATTGGATGGACAGGAAGCAGTGGCTTTTGGGTGTTGCGGATATGACTCCTTAAGTTGTATAAAACCCAAATAAAAAAAAATATATATATATATATATAACTTCATATTTCTTTTTTTATGTTTTACATTTTATTCTAAGATTCCCATTGTAACACTTATGTCACCCTTTTTGATTATGCCTACTTCATCATTCCACACTCTATAACGGTTATTATTATTTATCTCTTAGTTCTTAGTCATTATTCTAACAATTTCATTTTACTTTATATTTATTTTTTTTTTTTTTTTAATATTTTTTTTACCATCACTACTTATGTTTCTCATACCTTGTTATCTGGTTATTTTCTTCGCCTGATGAAGGCCTGAACTTCAGGTCGAAACGTCGGCATATACTATTTATTTCCTGTAAAAAATAAATATTATCATTTATTTTTTGCCTTCCTTTTTGACTGACCACCCCAACTATTCTTCTCTTCATTATCCACGACAGTCAACCAATTACCAATTATAAGTTTCTTGTTTGATTTACTACAAACTATTAATGCTGTACAGATAAATTAAAAATATATGAAAGCATATAGATAAAACTAATGATGTCGATGTTATTATTTCTCATATCCTGTGGTGTGTAGGTTTGAACCTCGAACCGATCGATTATGTTAATTATATGTTTTCTGATCCCGGAGATGTAGTAATGTTTTCCCTCCGACTGCTCCTATAATGTTATTTAGACAGGCTGGTATAGAGAGGAATGGACCTATTACTAGATAAGAGATCCAGCTGTCTGTCCCTTCCTTTGACTAATGGATGATATATTAATAGTCTTCGAGAGTCATCCAGGATATGCCAAGGAGCGGTCGTTGTCTGGGACTGCTGGAGTATAGGGTTAAAACAGACACGTTTTGGGAAACAGTAAGGAAATTAGGGTAGAAATTTTAAAATTTGAAGTCAACCAACGTATAATCAGCTAAGTGCAGTAATAAAATCCTTTTTTCAAATATCTTGCCTAAATTGTACGGGGGGAGATGGGAAATATTGAGATTAATTGCAATCCTTTTTTCCCATTATTATTCGCTGATTCAAATGTTATAAACAAACAAATACTAGACGGAGTGTTTTGTAATTTCACGGTACTATTTTAGAGATGTGTTAACTAACACGAAATAAACAAAAAAAAAATCATATTAACATATATCTGAAACTCATTTATTAAACAGATATCAATCAGGTTGAAGATTTATTATTTATTTACAAATGAAATTAGTTGCTCATTTGTTTGTCTAATTCTGTGTGCTTTAGTGTGAGTGAATACTGTGACACAGTTCAATTTATGATCATCATGGGAGACAGCATAAATTTATTCACTTTTACAGAACAAACAGACATGATTTTAACTTATGGCGAGGTACATATTACATAGAAGCGAGGTACATAGAAGCGGTGCTGCTGTTTTTCGAAGATATCGTGAATAATTTCCTAAAACACACAGAACTAGACAAACATATGAGCAACTACTGTCATTGCTTATCGTTGATTTGTTTATCAGGTGATTAAAACCTGTTTATTTAGTATTAGTGAACGCATAACTAAAATAGTACCGTGCAATTACGAAACACCCATATATATATTGATTAGTTGTAGATTTATTATTACGCACTTTTAAAAACCAAAAAATTTTTTAGTATTATCAACTAAAAAAATAGTTCTGAGTACAAAAAAATCAATTAAATATAAACAAAAAAATTCAAATATATAATCATAAGTACCTTTTAAATTAACATTAACTTGTAAGTAATCGTATGTGTAGGTCCAGAGTTGGTTGTCGTAAGTCGTTATGTAAAGTTCTGTTGTTTACGTATCAGGAAGCTGCTGTTTTTGTTGAATCGTAAATCTGTGAGGTGTATGTCCAAATGGGTTTAAGTAGGTTTGTATATGTCTTTAGTTTTTGTCTGATTTGCAATTTTAATTTGGAAAAAAGAGACTATAGTATTTTCAGTCGCATGTTTAATGTCTTTCGTTTCATAGCATCTCACACTAATTGTTGATTTTTTTGTGCGTATTTTCTCTTATTATATATCAATATTTAAATCTTAATAATGAACATTATTTAATTTATCCTACTCCTTTATATAAAATAGGTATAAATATAAAACTGAATTGAACGGGAAAATGAGCTCTTAAAAAATTCGAAGTCTCATCAACATTTTTTTTTATTTCATACCGAGAGGGAAGTTTTAAAAAAAATAATATCGCCCCATTGCGAAGTTAAAATTCACTTGCTCGAGCAATTTTACCATTCGTTAAAAGCGGCGGCGGAGAGGAGTGGGGGGCGAGAATTATGCAAAATTGTTTCCATTATGAAGGGTCGAGATTTTGCATAAAACCCATCGCAGGCCCGCAAACTCTCCTCACCCTCCCTCCCCTTGGTACAGACCTTAATCGGATTGGACAGACCTCTGATCTCCGAGCGGCTCCCGAGTTCCCCCGGGTACTCCCTTCATCGAGTTACCTCTTGTCTGCGGAACTTCGGGGGAAGATCCCGGGGCTAATTGTGGAGGAGTGCGAGAGTGCGTTGGACCGTAAGTTGGCCAAATTGCAATGAGGTTCCTGCCTTGTTTCTGAGGGGCACCATCTAACAATAAGTTCTATCTCAAGACTGAGCTGAATAAATACAATATGTTTTTAAACTAAATTTACCAACTATATATATGTAAACATTACAATTTTAGTTTCTGTAAAGATGATTGTTTCTTGTTTATATAATAAAGTGAGTTAGAAATTTAGGAAAAGCTCCACATATTTTTAAAGACTCTCTATTTACATTCATGAGTAATTAAAAGATTATAAAATTCCCAGCAAAATAAAAAAAAATATAGGAATGGGACCATTACGAGCAAACATAATAGACCACAGTAAACGGTACAAAACTTTTGGTTAATTATTATGAATTAACTATTTTAATTCAAGAAAAGGAAAATGTATTCCTTACACATAAAATTAGATTTTATTAACATATTCAGTACTAATTGTTCATTGACCAACATTTTATGCGAATTATTCGTCCGGGCCAGCTAGTATTCATTATTTAAGTAAGAACTAGCTTATCAGGTTTAAAAACTATTCAGATTTTTTTTTTCTTTTGGTGCATGTCATTACTGAGAACCTAATAAATTTCTGGAAATTCTCAAAAACATCTAAACGAAAAAACAACTTTATTTATAAAATATATTTATACAAGAAATATAGGTCACATCACCTCCTTGTACAACCTTCGACTTTCTCACAAAGTACTGAACCCAAGACTCTTCATATTATGTTGTGATAATAATAATAATAAAAAGGCTTAGCGAACCCGAAGGTTCGATGCCGATACCACCAATCGCTTTACACATCCACCGAGCTCCGTCTAAACCCAATCCCGCCAGATCAGCCTTAACGCAATCTTCCCACCTTCGCTTTGGCCTACCTCTCGACCCTTGTCAGTCGGCACAGCGCATATTAACTTTTTAGGAATTCTTTCGTTACTAAGCCCAGAGATTTTATATGTCCAATTTATTCGCCTCAACTTAATCATCTCAACTAAATTAACCGGATACAGTTCATGCAATTCAGCGTTGTGTAACCGCCTAAATTCTCTGGTTGATTCGTCCTTTTTCAGTCCAAATATTCTGCGAAATACTTTTTTCAAAAACCTTGCTTATTCCTTATGTAATCGGCCACGTTTTGCACCCATCAATTACCGTAGGAAGGATAATGGTTTTGTAATTTTTAAGTTTCGGGACAGGAGGCGAGAATTAAATAGTTTTGACAAATAAAAATAGCAAACATTTCCCGCCTTCAACCGAACCTTAATATCCTCTTCAATTTCGTTTTTTCTTGTTATCATAAATCATAGATACTTAAAACTATGTACTTGTTCTGACACATACCCTTCTATTTTTATTTTTTTTTTTTTAATTTCTTTATTGAGTATTATAACAATCTGTCTGTTGTAAAATTATTAATCAATTAGTATTTGATAATTCTCTCATAGATTATATTTACAAAACAAATATAGAAAAAAATACCATCAATAAACCTCAATGATAAAACAACCATAGATTAGGAAAAATCACAAAGCATAATATGTATTTGATTTGAAAATACTGCGACATTCTGGTTTTGTGACGTTAGTAAAACACTTATTGTCTTTTTTTTTTATTCCTTACCACTACTACCGGATAATGAGAGTTTTACTTTATGAGGATCCCTGACTATTTGGTATTTTGTCAACTACAGATATGTGAGTAGGGCGTTCAATGCTATACTTACACACAGAAGGGTATCTTTTTGTTTTCATTCCCTAGAAAGCTTTATATTTTTAAGGTTAAGACAATTAAACTTCCATTTTTATCTTTAATCTTTTTTAATCACACCTGACGTTTCGGGACAATTGTCCCATCTTCAGAGATTGTTTTATAGTTACAATAATGGAACTTGAAATAACCAAGTTTTGGTTGGTATAGTGATATATATAGAAAATGAATGTGTAACACCAAAATAAGTATTATATTTAAATATAGATATGACAGCTATTGTAATTTTTGACAATTGGTGGCAAATTACAAATTCAAGTAAATATAAGGAATCTCTGAAGATGGGAAAATTATCCCGAAATGTCAGATGTGAATCAAAAAAGATTAAAGATAAAATGTTTAATTGCCTTAACCTTAAAAATATAAACCAAAGCATCCTAGAGAAAGAAAAACAAGAAGATACTCTTTTGTGTGGAAACGTAGTATTGAACGCCCTACTCACATATCTGTAGTTGACAAAATACCAAATAGTCAGGGATCCTCATAAAGTAAAACTCACATTATTCGGTAGTTGTGGTAAGGAATAAAAAAAAAAAAGACAATAAGTGTTTTACTAACCTCACAAAACCAGAATATTGCAGTATTTTCAAATCAAATACATATTATGCTTTGTGATTTTTCCTAATCTATGGTTGTTTTATCATTGAGGTTTATTTATTGTAGCTTAGTCTATATTTTGTTTTTTAAAAATAATCTATGAGAGAATTATCAAATACTAATTGATTTTTTTTTTAAACTCTACAATTCAGTCAGTGAAATGTAACATACATCTTATTTTTCTTTCACACTAATCCAAAGTGTTTCATTTTGTAGTATTTTGAATACTGATGGCTGTGACAGAAATTCGGTGCTCCATGCGCAATAGCTTGCGGGCAATAAATGGAAAACATGTTTTTCTATAGACTGTAGCGCAAAAACGGCTCTAACGATTTTGATGAAACTTTCCTATAATGTTCTGATCATTGTTCTTTCAATTTTCGTATATAGACTAAATTTCCCAAAAAATTCAGGAAAAAAGTTATAAAAAAAAGAAAAATGTTATGGGGCCTAACTCCCTAAGTATATATTATACGATAAAATTTATAATAAAACTTTTGAAACATAATTAAATTACCAACAAAACAAAACAAATATCATCGGGATAGAACCAGTATTAGCGATGATACAGCTTATTCTATTTTTTACACATTTTTTTAACTTATTTTATTACTTTCCTGCCTATACTAGTTAAGGAAAGTATTGCAATCGGGTCATATTAGCCTGTCGTTTGAAAGGTGATGAAATTCCCTACAAAGCCATATACAAATCGTTCATTTTTGACAACTATTAACGAAGTTACAGCTATTCAATTTCCAATGTAAGATTACGGTTTCATATCCTGGTGTCAGAAAGGGGTGAATGAGAGAATAAAGATGACTAAGTGGAAGTAATATAGTCTGTTGCCCGTATCAAACAATCTTCACTAACAGAAATTATTGTTTGACAATACTAAGCTATGGCAAAAAGTTTTTGATCAGCAATATTAGGAAGTATTGAAATTTTTACACTGATTTACCTTAAGCCGGTTTACATTGCTTTAGTTTATCAAATAAATCGTACTCAAATCTTATATTTGATCTACTTTAAGGAAAATGTATCTAGTTCAATTCTTTATTGTTTCTTCATGAACATATGTAAAGATATAAAAACTTTTTTGAAATAGGTAGGAAAGTCATGTGAGTGGACACACCAGATTTTTTTTTTGTGGGGTCTGCGCCTATGGCCATAACAATTACTACTGTAGATCCAATTTCGATAAAAAAAATTAGGTATATCCACCGTATTGTACCCACATATAATTAACTTAACAAAATCACGAATACCCAAACCACAGAAATAAGTCATCTCAAATAAATCCAAACGTCTTCCATTTTAACATTTGTTTGCCTCGTTAATGCTCTAGGTTAGTTTGTTTTTGTTATTTGTTAAAGTTTATTTACCAGGCTAGTTATTTTCCCAGATCCCGAACCGATTTATCAGCGATCAGATTTACGACTCTTTTAAAATAGTGAGGCTGTAAATATAGGTCCCGTCCACCGTCCTAAGCTACATGTGGCGTCGGTTTCCCGCTGTGCCCAAATGGTGCCCTACACGAACCCACCCGTACCTTAGTCCCAAGCAAAAAATATTCAACTTATAAATTCTAATGCTATTTAGTATTTTATTATTAATAGCTCCCGTTTTATTTTATTTTTTCTGTCGACTTTAGAGCCCTTGTAGATCTTCGGCCTAAACCAGGTTGTTGTAAATCTGTTTTTTTTTTTCTGTTTGGTTTATGGGTTTCTATGAGGTCTCTTGCTGACGACTGTGGCAATTGTGTGTTTTTTCATTGCCATATTTGTATTGGATAAACGCTTTGAAGCACTGGTGAATCTAAGAGAAAAATGTAGCCCTCCCATCTTAAAAAAATTGACAAATAATTTTGTTTTTTCATTGGTCAACAAAATTGTATAAAACATAGATAGATAGAAAATAACTTTATTCTGGGACATAGTCCCTTGAGAATAACAAAATGGAACAAAATTAAAAAATTACATCTGGCCAAAATAAAATCAATCGAAAAAAGAAATAATGTAAAAAAAATTAAATATATAAAGGTAAACATTCTATATACAAAACAAACGAAACTATATATAAAACAATTAATACTATGACAAAACATTTAAAGCTATTTGCACTGATAGACCAGTATACACTTTTAAGAAAATAATAAAGAATTAAAAAATAAAAATGTATCAAATTCTCTATTAAAATCAGCTCGAATGGTTAGCAACTATCTGACTGTTTTTGGGATAGGAATCGGAATAGGAGGGTTTTGAATGTGGATATGGATGGGGAGTGTCGTATTTTGATAGGGAGGGAATTCCAGAAATTGACACAGCGAACAATAAAGGAATTTTGGAATGAGGCAGATCTGTGAGAAGGCATTTAAAGGTTAGAAGGTCGAGATCTTGTGGACAGGGAATGGACTGAGGATTTGAACTGGAGAAGGTTGTAGGCGTAAGGACGATGGTTGTTGATGATTTCGGAGAGGAACGTACCTAGGAAATATTGTCTTCGGAAGGAGGGGAAAAGCCACTTTAACTCAACGTTGTGGTTAGAGACATGGGAGTATCTTTGGGCCCCGATCACAAATCTTACACAGCTGTTCATTAGTCTTTTCAGTCTATCGCGGAGCTCCACAGAGATTGTATTCACCTAATAAGCTGAAGGTTATGAGTTCGAGTCCTGATGACGGCGAATTTTAATTCCGGGATTAATCTATCGCACTCTTCTATTGCCTGGAAAAGATCTCTTATAGCGCCGAAAGGCGGAGAAGGTTAAAGGTAAACATTTAAACAATCTCAATATATTATCTTTTTAAATTATAATTTATAAACATTTAATAAATGTAAGCACGTTTTAAGAAACAAATATAAATTAATCTCTAAAAGTATTTTTGCTACTGCAGTTACCTTTTCTTTTTTTTCTTCCAGAGTCGTTATCGTTATTAAAAAAAAATTAAATAAAGTAAAATAAAAATAAATACATCCTTGATCTACTACTACTTTCAACAACAGCTTGTTATCGACTAACCATAAAAATATCGATAATCGCCTTAAACTCTATAAAGACTTTCAATCAATAAATTTCTCTTGAAAGGAGCTGAGAATCATCGCTTATCTCAGCTCAATATAAGACGTCCTTCATAGCCTGAATATTGTTGTATTTCATTATAAATAAGACATAAATTATATACATTAACATAAAAATTCCAGATGAACATAATACTAACATTAGAAGAGATAACAATAAAACAAAAAAAATAGTCTTTGAAATTATCATGTTGGATAAAATTATTATTTTTTTAACTCACTAGTGTTTTGTTGATTTTTACAATTTGACAAGATTGTTTTTGTGTTTTTTTTGAAATGTAATGTACAATATTTATTTATTTTTTATCTAATTATATTGTTCTGTTCTCAGGTAAGAGTTCTCATCATTACTGCACACAATATATCGTAAGTGATAGAATTTATTTTATCTTCATTCATTCCTTTAAACTGAAGAATTTATTAATTTGGAGTATATAAAAGTAAAGTCAATCTAATTAGTTTGTATAAAATTTAAAACATATATTGTCGTAAACCAACGACTTCCTGTCCTACAGTTTCCTTTAACAATACTCCACTTATTCCTGTTGAGCAAATCCGATACCTAGGACTCCACCTGGACAAACGACTAACATGGAATCCTCATACTAGACTGAAACGACAAGAAACCGCTCCACGTTTCCGATTACTTGAGCACTTACTAGACAAACGCTCTAAACTTCCCATTAATTACAAAAAAATCATATACTTGACTATAATAAGACCTATTTGGACTTACGGAGTTGAGCTATGGGGCTCCACTAAACCATCGAATTCCTCTCGCATCCAATCCTTACAATCCAAAATCCTTCGTAAAATCCTCAATGCTCCTTACTATGTCACTAATAAAATTATCCATAAAGATCTTAATGTTCCTTATGTTTCAGATCTGGCCCAATCCAGATACCTATCCTTCCATAATAAACTTCAGAATCATCCCAACCCTCTCGTTTCTAACCTTGCTTCCTCTTCAATTCCTGATAACCCTCCGAGGCGTCTGAAAAGAAGATGGCCCCGTGATCTCCTAATGTAGTCATATCATTAGAGTGCTACCATTGGGTAGTTACTCAGCAAGTGTATTCATATCATTATATCAATTATGTCCAAATTTACTTGATGTATTTATGTAATACAGTTGTAAATGTCATAAAGAAATAAAAAAAAAATAAAACATATATTAGATACAAATGAAAATACAATATACTCGTTGTAATAAATTTACAAATCATATGAGTATCAATATAAGTTGAAGATGATCGGGGTACTAGTATATAAAAAATCATGTAAATTTAAGCTGGGAAAAGATGTAAATTCAAATGAAAAAGAACTCGTATAACATTTTTTTTTTTTTTTTTTATTGAGAGAAAGAAAAAATACATTTTGTCTCAATTAAGGGCATTGAGTATTTATGATTAATGAAGTACAATCATACCATATATACAATGAAAGAGCAACAAGATTATAAGAAAATAAAATAAAATAAAACTTGGAGTAACAGAATAAATCAAACTGATACAACATTAAATAAAAACTAAAAAAAAAAAATAAATAAATAAAAAATAATAAATAAAAACACATTAAAACTTATTTACAATATTTACAGTCAGACGAGGGAGCTCCGAGTCGGGCCTTTTCCCCCACGTGTGGGTTTTAAGGCAAGACTCCAAGAGATCCCAGCGCTTCTCTCTCAGCCGCATCACTAGGATGGGAATCCAGTGGAGATTGAGAGAGGGCACTAAAGCCACAGGAATTCATGACTTGAGTGGAGAAGCTCTGGCCATTGTCAGAACTCCAATGACGTCTTTACAAAAGCTCTGGAAGCCATTGCCGTCTCAACCTTCCAGGAGGATTGTAGGGATGATTGGAACTGGATTAGGATTGATCTAAGGGATTAGGATGGTGGATTATGTTCAGGTGAAAATTTGAAAATCGGGATGGAATAACGTCAAGGACATAAGGGATGTTAAGGTCATGATGTAAGGTTTTGTTCGTAACATAATAAGGAGCATTAACTATTATACAGAGGATTTTAGACTGGAAGGATTGGATGCGTTTGATGTTCGATAATTTAGTGAAGAGAAGAATAGTTGGGGTGCTCAGTCAAAAAAGGAAGGCAAAAATAAATTATAATATTTATTTTTTACATCTGCCGACGTTTCGACCTGAAGTTCAGGCCATCATCAGGGCTAAGAAAATAACCAGATAACAAGGTATGAGAAACTTAAGTAATGATGGTAAAAAAGATAATAACAAAAAGAAAAAAAAAATGAGAAAATATAATAGATTAGATCTAGATAAAAGAAAAATAAAATAGATAGATATAAAGTAAAATAAAATTGTTAGAATAATGACTAAGAACTAAGAGATAAATAATACAGACTGTTACATAGCGTGGAATGATGAAGTAGGCATAATCAAAAAGGGGGTGACAAAAGTGTTACATTGGGAATCTTAGAATAAAATGTAAAAACATAAAAAAGAAATATAAAGTTATATAAGAAATGAGAATAAAATAAATAGTAAAAAGAAAACATTGAGAATGGAGTAGTTTGATAGAAAATTGAGATATTGTAAAGTCTATCAAGATGTACAGACAATGTATAATATAAAAGAGAGTTAACAACAGAGAAAAGGAATGAAAGGAAGGAGGGAAGAAATTGAGAAAGCTGAAATAAGAAAGAAATAAAAGAAGTAGTACCTTTCTCCTAAAATGTCAAAGTGAGAATGAAGTCGTTACAAAGAAGGTGGAGAGAGAAGGGATGTGGAGGTGGCGTCATCTGTAACGGTTATCGGACGAAGCTAGAACTAGAAGAATGCTAGTAGAAGCCTAAATAGTTACGAGAGATATATTATGTAGAAAAATTATGGAATATTGAACGAAAGTTAATAGAAAGTGAAAGTGAATATATATATATATATATATATGTATATATATATATATATATATATATAAGGGAGTTGTCAGCAAAAAGGAAAGGAATATAACTATGGATGTTTTAATAAATTCAGAATTTGGCTATAGGTTTGAGAAAAGTTGTTTTTGTCAGCTTTAAGATTCACTGTCTTTGGTTGAAGCTGGATGTGGAGGGTTTCAGAAATGAGTCGTTTGTCATGGTTGAGAACAGTGGCAAGGATGGATGTTTTGTCGAAGTCAAATGAATGATTGAGGGAGAGAGAATGTTCGGATAATTTGGAAGCGGTGAAATTACGAGAGGATACAGAATATTTATGTTGGAAACACTATTCGATAATTTAGTTGTCCCCCACAGTTCAAGTCCGTAGGTTCAGATGGGTTGCAGTATGGCCTTTTATATTAATAGTTTATTTTCAATTGAGAGGTTAGATTTTCTGTTAAGTAGTCTGTATAACAGGCCAAGTCGTCGGTTAAGCTCTTGTCTTTTAAGTCTGGTATGAGGGTTCCATGTTAGTCTTTTGTCTAAAAGGAATCCAAGATACCGAACTGTGTCTGAGATAGGAAGA